GCATATTTTTAAGAAACGGAGGGAGTGAATATTTTTTGCTTTGTACAATACAATTTCGTGATGAATAGATTATATTTTACCCATATTTATGAACTGGTTATAAGTACTAAAATTACTTTTTATTCATATCTTGAAAGATTCATAAGTGTTATCCATTTATCCACCATTCATTTATATTTATTTATAAATTAATTATCTATAAACACTTCCTAATCGAGCTCAATATTTATGTTTTCAAAGTCTACATAGTTTGCGTGCTAATTTCTTATATTAAGAATTTACGACCTTGTAACATTGGATTTTTAATTTGTTAAAAGGATATGTGTTATATTGTAATTACAACTATGTTTCTACTCTCACAATGCTTACTTTGTGAAGAGAAAGAAAGAAAAGGGCGACGAAAAATATGGTGCATTGCATCCACATCGACTTTAACATTTCTTTTTCAAAGTGCGATCAATATTTTGCACGATGAGAGATTAGGGTATCGATTATTTGTAGAATATAACAAGACGTTAGTCATCCAATTAATTGTTATCTTCCTTTTAAAGCATCTCGATTTATGATTCCTATGTCAATGTCACTCAACTTAAGAAAGAGCATACGATCTAATAAAAATTTAAATATATTCACACCATAGTTTTTAGTAACTAGGCTATATTTTAATTGCACATAATCACATTTACGTCTTAAAATTTTTTTCATCGTATTTTTATTCTCAAATTAACATAGGCCATGTTTGTTTCTGATTAAAATCAAATTTTAATCTAAGTCGAAGTCAAACAATCAATATTAATCACATCTTTTATCAGTCCCACATCTTTTCAACCACACATTTCAAAAATTTCTATCACAATCTACTAAAAATCTAATTTTAATTCCCACCAAACACCCACATAAATTGGACCTCATTATGATTTCTACCAAAATTTTCTTTAAGATAAAGTAAAAAGACTTATATTACTCATTGTACTTCTTAATAAGCAAGATAAATAGTAATGCAAAAATGTGATTAAATATTTGACCGCATTTTAAAGCACGTTAACAAATTTTTTTAGACAAAAATCATGATCAAGAGAAAGATTTTCTGATCAATGAAATATTAAAAATAAAAATGTGCTATAAAAAAATTAAGAATATAAGTGTAATAATGAATAAATGTTAATATCATTAATGCAATTAAATCCAACCTTTTACACTAGTATGGACCCACAACATTACGCCGGTCCATATCATTCAGAGTAATGTTATTCATCTCCAGTGGGGATGAAAATACAGTTTATGTGGTTTTAAATGATAGATTAAATGAAATGTGAAATTAAATGACTTATTTAATTTTACCTATCATTTAATGCCACATTAACGCCATATAGACCGTATTTTCATCCCCAATTGGGATGAATAGCATTACTCTATCATTCATGCCCATCACTCTCTTCAAGGCCCAACTTTATGGCCACATGAAAACTATTAGGGTGTTATGATAGTTAAATTTAGTACGACACCCACACTTTATTAATGGAGGATCTTTAAAAAAGTTATTACCCATTGATAATGGACCTCAACAATTATGTGCTCCTAGTTTAACATTGATAGCTTCCAAAAATGAACATGCTTTTATTATTCTTTAATATGTTTGACAAGTGTTTATAAAGAATTTGTTCATAGAAAATAATGCTTCAATGAGTAGATAATGCTTACGAATTCAATAAAACATATGGATAAAAGTGGTTTTGACTTTTTGAAGGATCATTTCGATAGGGCTTCTTTTGTAGATGAGCGAGTTACCTTATGTCGATTTTTATATTTTTTAAACATTTCTAGTGAGATAATGTATTTTTAGAAAATTATTCAAACATGTTCAAAAATAAATTATTTAAACTACTCTTACATAGCTTTTGACCAGTTAAAAGGAGCTCTTGAGACTCAAAAGTTATTTCTGAACTTATTTGATTAATTTTATGGACCCATCTACTTGGAAGAGTTTTTAGAGAAAATTAGTTCAATATAATTTCTTCTGAACACTCTTTCCGAAAATAAAGTTCTTTTGGAAATTAATTTTCAACCACTAATTAAGATAGCTTTTTCAAGAAGATAATTTACAAAAAGTTGAATTAAAAGAATAAATCCAACCAAAAGATCTTTTAATCTCAGAAATAATTTTTAGTAAACAATATACATTTAAGGTTATTAGAAGATACAATTTCAAAATTAACAAGTTTTAAAACATAAAATAAGGTCATAATTAAATTTTATTAATCAACATAGATAATTAGAAATATTTTATTAATTAAATATATTAAGATCGCAATACTATACAATTTATTGTGCGCAATTACTTACTAGCCACAATTGGAAAAGTTACCGTCAAATCACAACTTATTTATCGATAATAAATTATCAAATTAATTAATCACGCATTATTTATCGGTCATAAATCTCAAATTTTATAGATCACAATTTATTTATTGATCACAAACTATCAACTTAATAGACCACGAATTATTTTTCAATCACATATCACAAATTTTATAGCTAACAACTTATTTCATAGTCTTATATTATTAAATTATTTAATCAACTTAATAAATTGTAAGTCACAATTAAAAATTTAGTTTCAATCTCACATTTTTTAGATCACATATTATTCATTAGACACATAATCTATTTTATCAATCACATATCATTTATTGATCACAATCACTCACATAATTAGTCACAAACACACTGCACCCAATCTCATACCACCACCACCACCACCACCTGCACCAACACTTCCAGCACTTCACCACAACACCACCATCACCAGCACCACAACATTGTCAGCACTATCAATATCACCACTTACACCACTACCAATTATAAATACCACCATCATACTGTACCTCACATCGCACCACCATTGCACTGCACCCCACACACATCGTCATCTGAATTCTACCACCATACCATTGCCGTTGACCACGACGCCATCCATCGTCAGTGCCTGTTTCGTGCAGTGACGATCACTACCCTAAACCTCCACAAAAGCACAAAAAAATCATCGACCACCCCAAACCACCTTTACCATGATTTCATAGCATCCATTTTGAAGAAATCGAACTTAAAAAAAGAAAAGAAAACGAGATTTGGTGGTACCAAGGCGGTTGTACATGCAGCTCAGTGCCATCCCGCTACTACATGGGGGCTCCTGTGCTGGATTTTGATGATTATGTCGTCGGCGCAGGAGTAGGCAATGCCAACGCCAACAAATACGTAGATTGTGGTGGTGCCTTTTGATTGTAGCACAAGAATAGAGAGCGAAGAGAGATTAGATAGAGTAGAGGGAGAAAGCGTATGTATAATTAATTTTTGATTAATTATTAATAATATATTTATTTAATAAAAATTAAATAATTAATTATAGTCCGATTTATGAAAGATGAAATTTAAAATCTTATTTATGAAATACAAACTTGAAAAATAGTCCTAGGTGTAATTTTCACTATTTTTTTGGGAACAATACATAAATCTTACATATAAGAATTACATTTCAAAAATGACAAACTCCAAAAATCTTTTCAAAATTTCATAAATAACAAACTTCAAAATCTTTTCAAAAATCAGGTGTTAAAGCAATTTATTAAATATTTTTAATTATAATATAATACAATTATCCAAATTTATTAAATTTCAAATCCAAATCATTTTCTTTCTCTCTCTATTTCTATCATCTCTCTACCATTTTCTCTCCATCGGAGGCGGTCATCAACTTCGGGGACTGCTCCGAAGACTATTTCGACAATCACTCCAATAGCCGCTCCGACGAATGTTCCGGTGACCACTTGGCATCCGCTCGGCGACTCTCCAGCAATCACTTCGGCAAACTACTCCAATGACCACTTCAACGCATGCTCCAATCAACCTATCCACCCCATCCACCCACTCCCAGCTTACAATTTTTTTTTTTCAGAATTTCAAGTCACAATCAGTTAAAACGAGTCACAATTAACCAGCCAGAATCGATCACAAACAGTCACAAATGGTCACAACTAGTAACAATAAACACATATTTGGTCACAAATGGTCATAACAAACAATCTGCACACACCACATCAAATTGGATCAAAAAACCACCAACAAACTCCAACAATTCAAAAATCAAAATGAAAGCTGAAATTTGAATTTTATATCAACACCTATACATACACAATACATACAACTCCAAGAAATGAAGCTGCTACCGTCTACCTTCACCTGCAAAAGACGTTACAACTAGATGCTGAAGATCTAAATTGAAGCTAGAGGCTAAGCTGGACTGAACAAATTGAACAAACACAGCAGAAAACAAACCAGCCACACCGCACGAAGCTGACCCAGAATCAGAAATAAATTGTACCCAAAAAGAAGTTGAACTGAAAACTGCGAAGCTGCCTAAAGCACGAACAAGCAGGTGAAGGTGAAGTATGCTTTTTGCTCTTCTTCTTGCTGTGGGTCGGAGCCTTAGCCGGGGTATCACTCGTGGGCGGCGCAGAAGCTGGAACTAGTGGTGTTGTCCCCTCGGGAGCCTGAGATGGTGGAGACCGGACTGGAGCAGCCGCTGGTGGTGAGCTGACTAGCTCTGGAGCAGGAGGTTCACCGGTGGTGGGGGTGAGTGTTAGGAATATTGAGCCTAACTCCACCTAATAAAACCGGCTTATTAGGGGAGGATTGCCCTCAACCTTATTAAGTGTATCGTTTATATTTTTCCAAACAATGTGGAATTCTAATACGCCCCTTCACGCACAGCGTGGACCATGCCAAACAACTGTGAACAAATCGATATTGGGTGGCACCTAACATCGCATAATTGGGCCTAACTCTGATACCATGTAAATAAACAGAACAAGCACAATACACTTTGAATTGTTTGGCTTTTCTATATATGNATTGTGATTGGGAAATAATAGGTGATCTTTCAATTTGATAATTTGCGATCGTTAAAAGAAATTGACATTTATAAAATTTGTGATTTGTGGTTGAGAAATAATGCTTGACCAATTAATTTGATACTTTTGATCGAGAAATAAGTTGTGACTTATAAAATTTGTAGTTGCGACCATGAATTGTATAATACTGTAACCTTAATCTTTAATATATTTAATTAATAAAATATTTTTTAAATTAATAAATCTTAATTAAGACTTGATTTTTGAAATTTTAAAATAATTTTCTTAATTTTGAATTTGTGTGTTATAATAAGAGGAATTAGACATAATACTTTAAAAAGAAGAAAAAATTGATTAATACACTTAAACAAAATTAAAATTTTAATAACCGTATTAATTACGTCCACTAAAAATATAACACATTTAAAAGGTAGTAAAATCATTCCAAAGAGGAATGGCCGCACGATATTTTTCACTTTTTAAATTTTTTTATTGTTAAAAAGTTCATTTGATACAGTATTTCCAGCTACGATTATCCTTTTTGAGCGATTTAAAATCTATTAGAAAGCTTGTAATGTGACCAAGATAAATATGTTATAGATGTTAGGAATATTGAGTCTAACTCCACCTAATAAAATCGGCTTATTAGGGGAGGATTGCCCTCACCTTATAAAGTGGATCATTTATATTTTTCCAAGCAATGTGGGATTCTAATACGCCCCCTCACGCACAGGGGGGACCATGCCAAACAACTGTGAACAAATCGATATTGGGTGGCACCTAACATCGCATAATTGGGCCTAACTCTGATACCATGTAAATAAACAGAACAAGCACAATACACTTTGAATTGTTTGGCTTTTCTATATATGAAGTATATACATTGATTACGTTTATATAAGAATTTACAACAACTGAATTGAGTAAAATTAGGAGACTATCTAATTCAAAAGAAGGTTGAGATATATCTGCAACAGAAATTAATCCTAATGGGAGGGAGGGAAATGAATTGAGGATGTCGGGATTTAACTTCTGATTTTTGTAAAAAATTCTTAATCACCTGATTTTTGATAATTAAATCTTAAACCCCTGAGTTTAGATAATTTTTTCTCTTTTTTATTTATTTATTTATTTTTAAATGTCAAGGCCCATAATGTTGCTTAATATTTTGGGCTATTCCAGCCTAGTTCCCCAACAAACATTTGACCAAAATGGTTTAGAGAAAAAATATAAAAAATAAAATCGAATTCCTGAGGAGAAATAAAATAAAACTAATGTTTCGATTGGACTTTTGGGTAATTGGCTTCCACTAGACGTTCCCAAAATATGTAAAAGTAAAAGAAAAGAAAAAAGAGCATCTTCGCATTGCATATCCGATTGATAAACGATTCAATTTTGAATCTTGGATTCATTTCTCCACTGTTAAAAAAGCCCCAATTTCTCACTTTTCATTTCGAAGCTTTTGAAATTTGGAATTCCAATGGCGTCTCGTCGCCGGATGCTCCTCAAAGTCATCATTCTCGGCGACAGCGGGTCCTTATCTCTCACCCTTCGTCTTCTCTGTACATATATATTCGCTTTTGCAGGATAATTGAAATATTTTGCGTTGATTGATTCATTGCCAGGGTTGGGAAGACGTCTCTGATGAATCAGTATCCTTTTAATGCAGATGTCTATATAATATATAGCAATTGTTGTAATTTCTTACGTAGAACGGTAATGGCGTTATATTGATTGTTGGAAATTGTTATTTGGCCTTAAACGAGGAAAATAGATATGTGAATAGGAAATTCAGTAATCAGTATAAAGCAACGATTGGGGCCGATTTCTTGACCAAAGAGGTCCAATTTGAGGACAGGATTTTCACTTTGCAGGTTTGCTTTTAATGCTAGCAGCTTTGTTATTGTATTCATCTTAACAAATTCTTTAAGTTTGTGGAGGCTTTTTTTATTCTTTATTTTTTTATCGTTGGTGATATTCTTCGGATATGATTTGTTTTGTTGATTGATTGAAATTGATAAGAACAAACCTCATTTCTAGTATGTCGTAGTAAGTGAGGAACAGAAAATCTACAACTTTCGCGTGCTCATCGTCTGCTCATCATCTGAGAACTTGAGATATGCCATTTTCTGTCACACTAAAAAAATGGTTTTAATCCATGGAACACAATCTTCTTTTTTTTGGTGTTTTGAGTGGATTAAATAAGGAACAGAAAATCTACAAATTGGCACAATTTCTTTCACGTGAGGATTAAATGAAACTCTATAGCACAATAATATCTTTTGATCGATTTTGAGCTAGTAGTCTCTAGGAAGCTGGATGATGGAATTTGAATTGGCACTGCTTGTTAAATTTAAGTAATTGTCCTCAATCCTCTTAAACTTCAGTTATATCAACCGTATGCTAGAGGATCAGCAAGTATATAATATCAATTATGGTTTGTGGAAATTGTCTAATACAAACCATCTTGAAACCATATCTGTATTCACCTCCCTTAATTGCATTCTAATATTAAGGTCCTTTGAATGTATTTGAGGGTCTCTGGGGAAATTCCTATCTGGCGGAAAACTTTGGAAGTGTGTATATAGTACTTGTTCTTTCCACTAGGCCAAGTAGCAGAATTACTCTCTGACCACATTTGTCCCGGTTTCAGATATGGGACACGGCTGGTCAGGAGAGATTTCAAAGCCTTGGTGTGGCTTTCTACCGTGGTGCTGACTGTTGTGTACTTGTTTATGATGTGAATGTCATGAAATCATTTGATAACCTCAACAACTGGCGAGAGGAGTTTCTGATTCAGGTTTATACTTTCATCCCAGAATATGAGTTTCAGTTTTTGCACCGCATCTGCTAATTCTTATGTTGTAAATTTGATATACAGGCCAGTCCTCCTGACCCTGAAAACTTCCCATTTGTTGTCTTGGGGAATAAAATTGATGTTGATGGTGGCAATAGCCGAGCGGTACTTCCTTTTCTTCCCTAACTATTTAACTCAAGTTGTAAAATATTTTGTGTCTTTAGTAATTGACGGATAGAAGTTCCATTATGCAAGTCAGCAGAAAGGCTAACTCTTCTATGGTTTAGCATTATATGAAACTTTTGGAAATAGAAAATTTATAAATTAGAAAAAAAGCCCACTATCCTTCTCATTGTATAAGTGATTTTGAGAAATCTTTTTCTTCTTGTTATTCCCTATTAATTGTGTCATATCTTTATGTTTATCATTCATACTTTCAGATATCTGAAAAAAAGGCAAAAGCTTGGTGTGCCTCCAAAGGTATTCCGTACTTTGAGACTTCTGCAAAAGAAGGGTTCAATGTGGAGGCTGCTTTCGAATGCATAGCCAAAAATGCACTGAAAAATGAACCAGAGGAAGAATTGTAAGTACTTCTGAATGTGGATTTCTTACGTCTTTCCATGGTGGTTATTTTCATCATGAATTCAATTTGTTATGTTTCTTTTTCTAGCCTATTTTATGTTAAAAATAGTTCCTTGGTCTAAGGAGTTAAGGGCCTGTTTGGTACTCCAAGGGGAGTGAGGGGGAAGGAAAGTGTATAGGGGAAGGGATTCAAATTTTCGACTGTCAAGTTCTATGGGAACTTAAGGGTACACCTTACCTTGTTTGGTTGGCCAAATAGACGATGGGGTAGTAGTAGTGGACGGGCATGGACCATATTTTTCTTCTGCTCCCAAATTTCTGAGTAAAGGACGTATAGATAATATTGAACCAACCTCAAATTACACTACATGGTGATGGGAATATGAGTAGAGATATTATCTAATCTAGTTTCCAATTTCTGGGTTTATTTTAGGAAACGTAATTATGGTTTAATTTAATAAGTTTTTTTAGGTCCTTGTTTGTCTACTATTAAAACAGGAAAATGATTTTGGAATAGTGAATTTTTGGAGAACGCGTGGTTAAGAATTGAGAAAAAAGTTTTAGATTTACATGCAAAATATTTTATTGTATAAATGTGTGATTGAAAATGAGTTTGAAAAAAAAAAGTTTTGAAATAATGGTAGAGAAACATGGGTTACATGTTGTTTCCTACTTAGAATATGATCTTTGAAACCTTATATAGTAGGGGTTATGCAATGTAATTTATATTACTTTGATAATTAAATAAAGATATTTTCTCCCCCTACTTAAAGCAACACTATGCCTATGTTTGGTCTATTTTTTTTCAGTAAATTAAATAAAGATAATTTCTCCCCCTACTTAAAGCAACACTATGCCCATGTTTGGTCTATATTTTTTTCAATAACCCATTTTTTTAAAACTCATTTTCATCCAACATTCTCATATAAAATAATTTCATGCGTAAATCGAAAACTTTTTATCATTTTTTAACCACACATTTTCTAAAAAATCACTATTTCAAAACACATTTTTAACCAAAAGGTATTATTATAAACCCTTGAATCCTTGCTCAATAAAATGTAGGAAGACTTCCATTTATTGCATATGAATTTTCATGATTGTTATGCTGAGTATCCAATATTTATTGAAGCTATTACTTATAAATTCTAATACATTGTATGAACTCTACTTTTATGAAACTGATGAAGATACCTTCCTGATACGATCGATGTGGGGTCTGGACAGCAACCACGATCGTCTGGCTGTGAATGTTAGTGCATCGGATCATATAGTTATTTGCAAAGACAATGGATTGCGGACCATCGCTTTTACTCCGTTTATCATTTAAGGTTGTCAATGAAATCTGCATTTCTATGTAATTGTAAGGGGTTAATTTTAGCAAATGCACTAAAGTTTGTAATAAATTTCATTTAATGCTATTTATAGTCGCTCATTGCAGCAGTCGCCCTATGTGGCACGCAAATGACATGTAGTTATTTGATGCATTAATGTAATAGTTTTTTTTTTACCACATTAATGCATTAAATACACACTTGATATGTGTGTGCCATATAAGGCGACTGCTGTAGTGAGCGACTGCAAATGGCATTATTCATTTCAAAATGATCACTGAAGTGATTCTTTAACATAATAATCACTCAAATTTGTAACTATTACACTAAACGTCATTCAGTTGGAAATGTCACGTCACCATTAGGGTTCGATTTTGTCAGAAAATGAAAAAAAAAAATTGGTAATTAAAATAATTTTATTGGGATAACATGTTTTTCACCTTTAGCTACTGTTCGATGAGAATTAAAATTAATTTTTAAATAGATTTTGATGAATGTGTAGTTGAAAAGTTGTGGATCCCATAAAATGTGTGGTTAAATTAGTTGTTGACTTTGACTTAAATTAAAATTTGAACTTAGAGTGTGTTTGGTAGGGATTTTTGGGAGAAGAATTGATTTTTGAATAGTGATATGATGGAAAATGTGTGGTTGAAAAAGAAGAAAAAAATATCGATGTGATGGAAAATATTATTTTATTGAAAAATATGTGGTTAAAAATGAGAATTGATTTACTGTAGAAAATGAGAATCTGTACCAAACAAGCTCTTAATTTGTAACGAACAAGGGCTTAATTAATGGAACATAATTAAGGTATTACTACTCAACACTATGCGTTTACGAACAAATTAAAGTCCGTTTGATATAGATTTTCAAAATTCATTTTTTTGAGAAGTTATATTCAATCACACATTTTCTCAATAAAAGCTCATTTGGTCGAACTTTTGAAAACTCAAAAAACTGTTTTTCAATATGTTTGAATAATTTTTCTTAAAATGTTTCTCATAGTTAGATTTTTTAAAGAGAAAATTGATTTTAAATAACTTTCTGACGAGGTTGACTTACAAGTAGTAAAAATAAAAATAGAAGCCGTACCAAATGAGTCCTACAATTATTTCGTGTTTAGACGCAAATTTTTTGATATTTTTTTAGGCATGCATTTCTCAAAAATTTAGGATATGTTCTCTTTACTATTTTCAAATCGCTTTTTGTTTTTTATTTTCCAAAACAGTGAAAAAAAAATTTCTTTCCTATTTTTGGAAACACATTTTTAAAAACAAGTTAAAAATTTAAAGAAAACATAAAGCGACAAATTTGTTGTTTTGAGTATTTTTAATTATAATCAAACCAAAATTTTCAAAATGCGTTTTGAATGTTTTCAAAATTTCAAAAAACACATATTTTCAACAATCTCAAAATGAAAACTCAAAACACAAAATTCAAAATAAATATAAAACTTAAAATACAAAACTGAAATACAAAGATAAAACCCGTAACCTGGTATAAAATTTATACATCAAACATTGCCTTGGCAGTGAAGATTAGCGTTATCGACTAATCCTATTTTTAACTACTTAGGTTGCTGGGTACTCCAAAGGGGTTATCTTCCTCCAAACATGCCTTGGCTTTGAAGATTAGCGTTATCGACTAATCCTATTTTTAACTTCTTAGGTTGCTGGGCACTCCAAAGTGGGTATCTTCCTCCAATCATCGCCGTAGCATCTCCAATGGCGCGAGGTCTCCTCATGCCTTTACATGGACACACCAAAACGATTCCATTCTACCTTTCGCATCACTTCCAGTTCTCTCTTACCAAGGCAACTCGCGTTCTCTGCAGTTCCTGCAGTGGCCAGCAACAACAGCATGACCCAATTGACATGTCCAAATACACAGAGACCTTCGCCAAACGAATGAAAATGGCTGGCCTTAAACCTCATCACCGTATTGGTCAGTATGCGATTCTGCTTTACTCGTTTTCTTTCATTTTATTAATGTATTTTTGTACCTCTGCACCTGTGTTTTTGTAGAATCGTTTTAATTTATGCAAAAAATAGTATTTTATTTGGTGGGTTGTGCCTCAGTTCGAGTAAGTAGCGGATTAGATTTAAATAGGGCTGTTAATTTTGGTAGATAGGCTTTCACTTTTAGATGATGATGATTATTATTATTATTACTTTTTTTTTTTGGGTTTCTTTCTGGGTTATTCGTGATGAATATCATATACTCTGAGGGAGAGATTCAGCTCATTCATTTGGTGTGTTTCGATGTTGATTTCATTCAATAATTTCGAGAATAAATTCAACAGAATAATTATGACTCTAATGTATGCATAGGATTTTGCCATTTTTGTTGAATGATGGAGCTTTAAGGTGCTAACAACAATTATGCTTTTGATAGTTTAAAGAATAATTAAAATTGCAGAAAACTTAAGGATAATCAGAAGCCATGCAAACGTTTAAGGAAAATTCGAATATTGAAGTTGAGTATATACTTGTCTTAAAAGCTACCATGGTTGAAGTCCAAGTTTTGTACTTTCCTTTCAAATCTCCTACTCAAGGTAATTTGGCATGATTAACTGTCTATTAGTACATGATATGTAATAAACTTAAATTAAGTATTCTAAATTTCCCTTTAGAGTTCTCATGTTCATACCGAATAATAACTTAACACTGTTTCACTGGCTACGGCAAACAAATGCGGGCAGTTCTTACTTCTTAGCGTCCATTATTATTATTTTATTACTTGTCTATATTTTCTGCCACTAACTCCTACATATTTTCTTGAACCTGTCACCATGATTCACACAAGAGGAGCTCAATGCTGGTCTCTATGTAACTTGATATTGCAGTGTGAGTGTGAAATGCTTACACTAATAAGATTAAGCTGCCAAGTTCAATTACAAAGGCAGACACTTTATGCACTTGCTATGTGATGCATCTAGAATAACGTCATGGTATGGACCTATATTCTACTATTCCCCTAAGCCTTTTCAAAATGAAGTCCTGAATTTTTTCTGCTCTTTCCTGTGTATAAGAAACGTACATGGGATTAAAGTGAAGAGAGTAACATCTGAACTGAGTTTTTGGGATTATAAGAAACATTATTTTTTTCTCTTGTTTTTTTTACCAGCTCTTTGTTGGAATCAGGCAGAGTGAGTTTGACACTATGTTGCTGATAGGATTAACTTATAAAATTTTGGTTATGCTAAGTATTTGAAAGTCTACAAATTAATTTACCGGTTTACTTTTTAAATCCCCAAAATATATTCAATTGAGTATGCCAGACGGTGAAGGAATGTAAAATCTAAATATTACTAAAATTTGAACTATGCCGTTTCCTTTCAAAATTCATGGCAAAGCATGATTGCATCAAGAGATTAAGGCAAGCATCTTTTGCACCTTCATATATATTTTTCTCTCTATCTCCCAATGGTAAGTAATTGTGATTGACAAGAGTGTTTTGATTTTCTGTTCAGCTATTGGTGTTTCTGGTGGCCCTGACAGCATGGCCCTCTGTGTATTAGCTGCCCACTGGAAAAGTGAAAATCATAACCCTGCTTCTACCACAGGAAGAAGCAAGTCCATCGACGGCCTTTTGGCAATTGTTGTAGATCATGGATTGCGAAAAGAAAGTACAGAGGAAGCGAACCTCGTTTCCCGACGAATTGTTGATATGGGTACATATACCTGTTTCTTTCTTTCGGGTGGTCTTGGATATATTTTGAACATGAAGCTTCCATTGATGTAATGTAGGCTGTGTTTAGGAATCAAATGTGAAGTTGCTCGTTGCAAATGGTTGGACGGTAGGCCAAAGCCTGGTCACTTGCAAGAGGCAGCTCGTGATAAGAGGTGATCAAACCACTTGATTGTTTTTGCAATCAATCTCCACAACCCAGCCCCCTACCCGCCAACCCCCAATCCCTGCACTGGGGAAAGATTAGTCAATCCCATATGGTATTGAATACTTTTTTCTTACCTGTTCACCCTCTAATTATCTAGGTATGAAATTTTCCAATGTATTTGCTTCGAACATCAGATTGGAGTACTATTGATTGCTCATCATGCGGATGACCAGGTTTGCTTCAAATGGAGTTTTATTCTAGTCAAATTTAACAATGGATTTTTATGTCAAGTTGATAAACCTGTTAAATTTTATTGGCAGTTAAATTTTGTTTAATGATAAACCTATTATCATCCAAACTTCTTTCAACTCATTTATTCTTATGCTAATAAGCAGCATTATAATACTAGTGTTCATGCCTTTGCACATGCTTGTGTACGTCTGAAGTCGTGTGTGAAATGAACAAACGGCTGCAGCTATTTGGAGGTTGTTATTGTTTATCAATAGATTTATCATCCCGTTTTCATCTTAAGCATTTCTTTTCTTTTTCCCCTGAATTGGATTTTGGGAATAAATGAAGTCAAGATATCCTTGGAAAAAATGTGAGTTTCATATTTTCTGGTTCCGAAGTAACTTAATAGGCATCATATGGATGTTAGATAATTATTGCTAAGGCACAGTCATAATGCAGGCCGAGCTATTCGTTCTCAGATTATCTCGAAATAGCGGTGTGCTTGGGCTTGCTGGCATGGCATTTACTTCTCAAATATTTGCTAAATTTCCAGATAGTAGTGGTGAAGCATCAAAAACTCATGGCATTTTATTGGTTCGACCACTCCTAGAGTTTTCAAAGGAAGATATGTACAATGTAAGCCTTCTTAAAGTGTCTATGATTATATGTAATTATATATTTCCTTTCCTTTCTTTTCTAGTTTCAATTTGAGCTACGCACAAGTTCATATTCCATTGTTTCATTTGTTAATGTTGCAGATATGTCGAGGGGGCAATCAAGAGTGGGTGGAGGATCCAACAAATCGGAGCCTATTGTATGTTCGCAATAGGATCAGAATGTCATTAAATAGCTTGTCAACATGTGAGTTGTGATACTGATTTAAGCATTTTAAGTTTGACGCATCTCAGAGTCATTTACTTTGTTTCCATTTATATCACCAGCTAATGCTTTTAACATTTTATGATTTATTTTATTTTTGTTGACACCATTTAAAGTATTGGCTGTTTTTTTTCCCTGTATGAATACTAGTGAATTTGCCACATTTAAAGACAATTATCCTGTGTCCTGCAGCTATCTTCAAGACTGAATTACAAGCAGTTATATCTGAATGCCGGAGAACACGAGTGCTTGTTGACAAACTTTGTTTCAAGTTGATAAATGAGGCTGTGACCATCATACCTGTATGTATACTGTTATACTTGAAACTATACGTGCTTTGCTACACAGTATTGGACAGGATTGGGCAAAATAAAGAAAAAGATTTTGCTTCTTTTCCTTAATACTTCTAGTCTTGTCCAATTCACCCTACAAATATGACATTCATGAATAATGCATGATTTGTACTCTTTTTATTGTTTATACACTAAAATATGCTCCCAAAACTTCCTATGGTTTTATTTTGGCTCATTCGGCTTAAAATTTGTTAAATGTGATGATAAGTATCTGTGTCGATCTGTCTGTCCTGATGACTTCACCCTATCTCCAAACACGACACAGCATGGATATGCAGTGATTGATCTAGAAAACCTCAATCCAACAGAAGTCAAGGACATGTGTCTCGTGAAATTTATTGCCTTAGTGTTGCAGGTATTACTATTTTGCATGTTTTCATCTCACGCTGATGGAATTTTTTTCATCACTTTTATTGGATGACATACTAACGCTAAAATTTACATCAGTTCATCTCACAAAAACATAGACCTGTTCGAGGCAGTGCATCAAAATTGCTATTGGACTACATTCGTACTTCTCCGTGCAAGGTAAAGAAATCTGCCACGTTTTTTGTATCGGACTTATGATTTATCTCTTGTTTGCTACATTACTTGCTAAGGAATGACAAAAAAGTCCTCAATTGATACTTGGTTTTGATTTTTGATTTTTTTCTCTCTTTCAAAACAAAGTAAGTTGCATTTGGGTGTTTGTTGGTATCTTCTTACAGTGTTATCAATGAGCGTGTTAATTAAGGCGACTTCTTTTGCATTCTTGCAGACTTGTCTTACTGTAGCCAATTGTTACCTTTGTCCAGCTCCGGGTTCTAGAGGAACTAAGATCCTAGTATGCTGTTCTGTTAATTCGTCATTTCCTTTAGAAATGGAGTTATTTGAAGCACGCACTTATGGAGGACACGGTTGCTTTGTTATGGGCGAGCTACAGCAAATTCTAGATAGTGGGAAAGCATATTCTGATAAATTTCTCCCAGATGCTTCAAAATCGCCATTTATAGAGATAACATCCTCTGAATCTGTTCTTATTGAAGCCAAGAGGTTGGGCATTCTTAGTGACTCTACCCATAGGAGTATTGTTTCTTTGCAGAAAGAAGAGAGCGAAAATTTTAAGATTAAACCTGAAATTATCTTCGAGTGCGAGAAGAAAGATGATGTACAACATGCAGGTGCAACTTCGAGCATATCAATGTATCCTGGACAAGTAGGATACTTCATGAACAGATTTATATTGAACTGGACAGGACTCAATAAAATATCTCCTAATATATCAACTACGAATGAGGTTGTGGGGGACAAGGATTTGGTTGTTGAAGGACAGTGTTGTAGTTCTTGCATGATTGATCATCAGGCGGGGGCTGAAGTGCGCTACATGATTGATACTGATTGGATATATCTTTCCTACTTGTCCAAGTTGAGAAACAGAGAAAATTCTCAACAACAAATTCACTCCAGGAAAACGACCTCGTGTTCTAAACATGCCAAATTATCAGCACATAGAGCTCTCATGTCCTTGAAGTCTATCCCAGTTGCTGCAAGAAGAGCCATGCCCGTCCTGGTCAATCCTCAAGGAGTTTTACTAAGCATTCCGGTATGTTAGTCACGCTTTTTGTCTGTTTTCTTCATCCAATGGATGTAGAATGATCTCGATTATTGATTTTGGCATTGTTTCCTCCTGGTCACTGTTTTTCATAGGATTCCTCTGCATTTTATCATCTAGTTCATATTTAACTTGGTAAGTGAACCTTTGTGTGGGTTAAACGATAAAACACAGCTGGTAGCTGAACTTTTAGTGAAAAATATCACGTTGGTCACTGAAGTTCATTTTCATTTTGTCTATGCACATTAATTTGACAAACGAAAAAGCTGAAGCGACAGTCTAGTTGGCAAAGTTACATTAATGGAGTGGCTATATTAAAGTTCAAGTTCACTGATCAACTTGGAAGTTTAGTGACCAATGTGAAATTTCCCTCAAAGCTCAATGACAACCAGTATATTTAACCGACGTTAATACTAATCTTACTGTATAGTAGATTGGTCTCTGCTAGTACTATAAATCTGCCTCCCGCCACTGTATCTATTTATTATCGTGTCAAATACCTTGTCTTTTGTAGGACTAACAAGTTATCCAATTGTTTACTCGTCTCAGGGCATCGGCTTCACACATTGCCCGTGCTTGATGGTATCTGTGATATTCAAGCCGAGAATACCCCTCGGTGGAGGTCACAGCTCGTATTTGTAGTCTGTTAGTGATTTCCATTACTATTAGAGCATGTTTGGCTAGGTTTAGAAGTTACTTTTCTCAGAAGTACGCAGAATGTTTTGCTTAGATGCAGCTATGTACATGCTGATGTTGCTTTAGTTTTCTACCATTAGTTGCAATCTAATTTATTTTCTTTAATAATAAATTAACATTTATAGACTCTTTTTTTTGCTCATATAAAACTTAGAATAGGCATGCTATTGAAAATTTAAATTTAAAATTTGTCGAAGTTATTGATAATAAATGATTTAAAATTTTAATTAAATATATATATCATGCATACATAATTTAAATATTAATTTATTTATAAACTTAAACAAGACATTAAGTAAAAACATGTAATTTTTACTACTGAAGTAAAATTTAAGTGAAAAATAATATACATTAGCTTATAAAAACATTATACACCTTCAAAATTTCTTATTAAATGACGATCATTTAATTAGAAAATGCTACAATAATATATTTCAAAATAATTCATAATATCCAGCAATTTGATTTATTTATTTATTTTTTGTACTTGCATGTAACTATTTGTTGAATAAATATTATATTTAGAAAAACAATATTACTTATAAACAAAATAATGAATTTAAATTAATGTCGAACGGACTTTGTATATAATATGTCAACCTATATTCTTATAGTTTAGTTTGCGCAAATTAACTACAACTAATTATAGAAAAATTCTTCTTTTTATCGACGAGCATTTTAGGTTTATTAACCTTATTTTAGATGATATATGACTAAAAAGTGATGAAGTGTATAATTTTTTTTTCCAACCACACATTTTTCAATAAAATAATATTATATGTAAATTAAGTTTACTAACAGAGTCAAACTTAACCTGATACGTTTATATATTGTGATTCAAACAATTTAGGGTCTTAAGCAAAATAATGAAAAATGTTAAGCAAATAATCACAAAAAAAGTTCCGTCGATGATCATCGATGAGTGTGACAATTAGTATATGATTGAAATCAATAATTATTATAAGTATTTGGATTACACTGCAATTATACATTCAATCCCTTGACCACTCGTAGCTTCAATTTATCTAACTTTGATCGTACTTCGTAAATATTAGTTTAAGCCTCGATTTAGTTTCCATTTTCTAAAATTCATTTTTAATCACACATTTCATATAATCTGCTATTTTTATGAACTACACATTTCATCAATTTTAATCAAAATTTGACTTTTAGCTAAAACAAACAGATGTTAAGTTGTAATTTTCTTTCAGTTGTAAATTATCGTTTCATTTGTAAAATACCTTTACGTCTACTTTTATCACTTAAGTTATTAAAGCACAAACAATTGTAATTTACTACTGTCATTAATCAATGAATAAACTATTTTCATTCAAATCTTTTGCTACAAAATTTTCTTTAACTTAGTCTTTTGTTTGTGAATCGTTTGAGAATAGGTAGGAGGTACTCTAGTGAGATAGACTATTTCCGCACGATGCCTCTTTCTGCGCTACAAGAAAAGGCATCTCGTGATACTTAAACATATTTTACCATTTGGATAATCTACTTTTTTATATTTTCAATTTTAATTAATCTTACTGGTTACTTATTATTAAAAGTAACATGGTTACTTATTCCCTAATTAAGTAGAAAGCTTCGAGTAAATGGAATCTCGCAAGTCGTTACTGAGATTTTATCATTTCAGTAACTTTTTAAGCTTAGCCAAACAGCTAAAAATAAAAAATATTCACATTTTTTTTTCTGATTTCTAATGATACAATCACCTTTTATGCAGATTCTATTCTGCTACCATGCAAATTCTTCCCCTTCCCAATTCAAATTAACAATGTAATGTTAAAGACTTTAAGTTCCATATTAAAAAGTCAATATTTTTAAGAGGGTTAACATGTCACCTCAAGATGGTGGCTCCTTTGAGCAAATCAATCTTGAAATTCGCGTACTCAATTTTTAAGTCTTACTTGGATTCAATTGCTTTTTGGAACTTAATGGACTCTGATACCATGTTAAAACTTAGGTTCCATCTTAAAAAGTCAACTTTGTTAAGAAGAGTAGTCGAGACTCTTATATGTTGATTTATGTTTCATTTTTATTCTATATGAGATATATCTCTTAAAATGTACAATCCCTTCTCTTTCTCTGGTGTGTGTGTTGTGTGTGCCATTTTGATACATATTGATGATCATGCTTTCTTGAATTAGTCGCTTCTAGTTATAACCCAATGGGTAGTTAATTTTAGGTAGGTAACTGATATAATGTTGCTTTTGAATCAGAAAAATTCACTGCCTGATTCTCTATTTAAAGTAAGTTTCGTCAGCTACACTTTCAAGTTTTCTTCCATCTTAATCCCATTGGTATAAGCCTGATCCCTTCTACATACCAGAGCAACAATAGAAAAAACAATCAGAAAACGAGCAAAGGATTAAAATGTCAACTTTGTTAAGAGTAGTAGCACATGCCCGATTATTGTTTCTATGTCTAACCAATGTGGGATTTACCCTTAATATGCCCCGCAAGATGGGGTTCATTTGAGGACATCAATCATGGAATCCTATTGCTCGTTTGAGCATTAAAAAGATTGAATTGCTCGTTTGCATTTAATGAGTTCTCATACTATTTTAATACTTGAGTTTTATCTTAAAATATCAACATTGAGTAACATCAATTTGTTGTTGCAAATTTTCAGCTGTAATGGAGAAAGAGGTTACAAGGTAGAAATACACTCGTCTATCTTGTCTATTTATGCCCCCCTAAGATCCTCTACATATGATAAGAATATTTTGTATTTGGATGGCCGTATGTGGACTACCCTGCAAACTGTATAATGTAATTACGCTACACACTGCCACCAAATTTCATAGTTTTTTTTTCTTAAATGTGCGTCAATTTGCTTTTCTTACTTGATGGTGAGAGTCTATGTTATTGGTTCTGTTGCAAGTTTAATCCTTCCTTTTATAATTTGATTAACAAGAAGTTTTAGTAAATGATACGTATAAGACATTTCACCCTACCAAACAAAGTCATAAATGTATATATCAGTCATCCGAACTTCTGAACTATGATCTTGAACACTGTTTGGTTTCCCCAAGGGCATAAATATGAAGTAAAAAGTCTTCGTGAAGATATTGATACTGATTTCCCAGCACAATTGATTAGTACGAGTTGAACTATGTTCAACTGTTTTCCACTTCTTCCATATGCATGAAGATGATGTAGACATATCACAGAAATTTCATTTCAAAAGTTCTAACTAAGTTGACATTGAACTGGCGGATTTGAGTTATTGTTCAGTACTACCTTAATGATGGAAAATACAGGTAACCATTAGAAGATATAGGAGACTCGCTTAAAGAAAGAACAAGATCTATTGTCAAAAGAAAGAAGTCGAATGGAACAATCACGAGCAAGACACAAATTCAAGCATCAGTCTTGATGGTAAGGCAAAAGTAACTCGATGAGTTTATTCAATGTACAGAGGAACAATTACATTCTTTCTCAGCTTCAATAAACTCTCAAAAGTGAATCCTCCGGTCCCATTTGCTCGAGCTATAATAGTTGCAAAACAGTTCGCTCGAGAACAAGTTGATGAATATTTTGATATAGAGGGGAAAACCTCGTGAAGTACTTTGTTTTCAAAGGTTGAACGGTAGAAGGACAGAGGCCGACTCTTTTAACATACACAACTGCTTTAGCTGCACTTACTCTCGAGAAACGTTTCAAGTCCATTCCGTCACTCCTTAATAAGGTCGAAGAGAATGGACTTAAAGCAGACTATATATTCTTCAATTCAATTTTTAATCCTTTCTCTGAATCTGGAAACTTTAAGCAATAAAAGCATTCCAAAAAATGAGAGAGAAACCAGTACATTAATACCTTAATTAAAGGGTTCGGAATCATTGGTAAACCTGAAGAATGTTTGAAACTGTTTGATATAATGTTGCAGGAAGAAAACGTGAAACCAAATGACAGGACGTATAATATTCTTGTCCGAGCAACAAGGGAGACATTATGGAAGCATGGAGTGTGGTCTGCAAATTGATTGCGGCTGGTGTGAAAACCTGATGTTGTGACGTACAATAAAATAGCAAAGGATTTATGCTCAGATACGAGACACCAGTCGAGCTGAAGCAATGATATTTCAGCTGCTAAATGACATAGTGAAACCGAACGAGCGGACTTGTGGTATTATTGTAAATGTTTGGTGTGGAGAAGGTAATATGATGGATGCATTCAGATTTGTGTATAAAATGAAGGATCTCGATTTATGCAGACACTGACATTGATGGAAGAATTTGGGGGTAAAACCTGACGTGGTAACGTTTAGCACTATAATGAATGCATGCAGTTCTGCTGGACTTGTTGACTTCGTTTTTCACACCGTCAACGTAGATAATGGATATCAGGCCCACTATCATTCTCTCAAGCTAATTCTGACATACATGAACTGATTGTCAATAGATAATAAAACGATATTTGAACGTGGGAGAAGCTTTATTGTACGAGACAAGAATGTTCGGGCTCCGGCGAAATATGAGATAAATTACACGATAATGAACGACCGACTAAGAGCCAAACTCAAGATCATGATCATACCTCAAACATTAAAAACCAAAGATTAATCAAAAGGAGGAGAATATATGGCTTGCAGTTGACATATTTGCATTACCCCTAAAATGACCAAAATGATGGATATTTATAATGTTACATGTGAAATGGTATCCATGGGATAGGGGACACGTGACCTCATCTCCTTAATCGAGGCATCTTATCATAGATTTCAATTTTGACTCCACTAGCTTGTAGTGCATTAAATGTCTTCAAAAAGGAGGCAATCATCTCATAACCTATGCTAACATGATTGGCTTTTCTACGCATTACAAAAGTCCAATCAATCATTCTAAAATGATTTCATAAATTTAAGATCTTTAAATGTGGATTGTCACTAAACTTAAGTAAGTCTCGGATTCTACTTCGTTGAATCTCGCCATTTCGGCAAAGAAGCTTCGTTTGGACCTCGGATTTGTCTTTAGCATAGGGATTTCGGCAGGGTTAGCCTCATGAATCACTTCGATAAGAGTGGGCTTTGGTGGATCGAATTTATATAGACTCTGGTAGGTCCTACTTCACGTGGGATGCCACATATCTTTGACGGAAAGGACTTCGATGGGTTGACTGAGCCACATAGGAGCCTAGGTGGAGAAGTATAAAAGCGGATCGGATTTAAATGGACTCGGCAGGTCCTATTCCATGTGGGATGCCACATGGTTTCAACAGAAAGGATTTCGACAGGTCGGCTGAGCCACGTGGTAGCCTAGGTGGTGAAGCATAATAGGACTCATGGATAAATGCTAAGAAATATTTGATGATATGGTTAAGACCAGCATTGAACCCGACATTCATGTTTTCAGCATTCTCGCAAAAAGCTACGTTCATGCCGATTAACCAGAAAAGGCTGAGACGCTCTTGAAAGTCATGAGGTTGTCAGGAGTTCATCCAAATGTCGTAATCCTCACAACAATCATCAGTGGATGGTGTAGCATGGGAAAAATGGAGTATACTCTAAGAACGTACGAGAAAATGTCTGAGATAGATATATCCTCGAATTTGAAGACCTTTGAAACTCTAATATGGGGATATGGGGGAAGCAAAACATCCATGGAATGCCAAGGAGTTCCTCCAAATTATGGAAGAGAAGGGTGTCATCCTCAGAAGAAAACTATTCTGCTTGTGGCCGATGTATGGCGAAGCATTGGTTTTCTAAGTGAATCTGAGAGAATCTGGAATTGTACTGCAGAAGATCAGATAGTTGCATCGAATGTTAATACGGATAAGACACATGTGGGCTTATTGGGCTTATTAAGTGGTTCTCTTTAACACGTATTGGGCCGGTTTCTTTTGTGACCGTTGAATGAAGATCTAGGGCTGAGATTTAATCTTATGTTAGATATTTCTTGGTTGACTTTCTCTTTATATTCACGTGGGCTTAGCTTCTTCGAAACAACACTCTGACTTCCTTCTAGGGCACGATTTTGCTCCCTGGTTTTCTCTCAGTTCTGCCCCCGTTCTTCTTCTTGTTCTAGTGGTCCCAAATTGACCTTCTAGCCCATTAATTGATGAAACTACCAGTGTGTTCTTAGGCCTGAAATAATGGCTAAGGGTTGGGTTTCTTTGGGGTTGGTTCGATAGGTCAGATTCGGTGTTTTCTTGGCTGCTATGGTAGACCCTTTAGATCGATGACCCTAGTCAATATGTTGGAGATCTTGGTTGGTTCCTACCTGTCTCTGGACGGCAATTGCAAGGCGTGAAAGGGACTGTTCCTGAGCCTAATCAATTCGGCCGAGCTGAAGGGAAGAATAACCTGAGGAAAGGAAGGAGCACCGGTAAAAGGGGAGTAGCTTTTTGCCTTTTAATTCTGGCCATTTACATGTTCTGTTCTGTTTTCAGTTTCGATTTCTGTAGTGTATATATATATAGTCATTACTTAAGTTGGATAGTATTCTGCTGATTTGGTATATCTGTAAATGCTTTGGGTATAGTTTTGAATACATATTGTTAATTCTGATTCTGGAGCATTTTGAATTCTGTCATTGGTTTGATGAGCCTGTAGAACTTTGTTATGCTGGACATTGGTTTTGTTGTCTGATATTATGCTAAGAAAAGTTTGCATTGTACTGTATTATTCCCAACAACATTTGGTATTAGAGCTAGATTTTTCTATCTAGGGTTTGACTGCATCCTTCATGTGATCTTCTGATTAGGTTCATTGTTTTTGACATTTTAGGGTTTCTAATTCGATACTAATTATTGGTTATGTCCTATGTGTATGTTCGTGGCTGGATTGGATGATTCTGGAAACTTGGATTGGCTGAGGAACTGGTGGTATTTTTACTGTTTTTCAACAGTAGTTTGGTAAGATTATTCCAAACTCTCCGATAGGTTAAGTTTGGTACTTTTACCATCTTATGCATGATTGCTTGGTTACTGAATTCTTCTGATTAATTTGTAACTTGAAAAACATATTTACTTGCAGTGTATACCTACGCATTGCCCAAGTTTGAATCACACGGGCACACACATCACACTGAAGTTTAAGTGATCGAATTGATTCGGTGTTGTGTTTCATTTCTGGACATTGGTTTTAACTCTGCATTCATATTATGTGTTGATCAT